TCACTTAAGAAATGATTCCGTGAAAATAAAATCCAGCGAATATACTTTTTTTCCTATATTTCACATTAAACTCATCAAAAATCAGTGAAAATAAATTCCATACAAAACGCCCAAAAAGCCTTTTCAGCGAAAATTAATTCCAGCGAAAATAAAGTATTCCACAGTATATAAAAATACATGTATAAGGAAAAAAATGCAGAAAAATGTTGGCGAGAAAGTGGTGGTGAAAAGTTAAACTTACCATATTGCTATTATAAATAGAAACTTATATCTGTAGTTCCAAAAGAAGTGCATACATTTGAACAGTACTACATGGCTTTAACAATTACTATTTTATTTTCTAGGGTGGTTGTTAAAATTGGCAGTGACACTATAACAGACTCTGGAGAAATCTATGACACAGCTATATCAGGAGGTCGTTTGGGAGTATTCCAATTTGCACAACCCAATATCATTTGGTCAAAACTGAAATACAAGTGTGCTGACAGGTAGAAAACTATTTTTTATAGTATTATTATTGAATATGAATCCCTATTAAGTTACAAAGTTTTGTAATTTTCATTTAGTTTAAATTTGTAAGTCTCCAAAGTGATAAATAATATTCTAATATTATGTTGGATGACAGATTGTCTCTCATAATGCATTATTATATGCTCAGTAAATGTAGAAATTGAATTAGGATTGACTCGCCTTAGACCATCGCCACTATTTATGTATGCAATCTTTTTCTGATATTCTGGTTACAGAATTGATAATTCAGGATAATTAACTCAATGCTTTGATAATCTAAAATGATCTCAACTTGGTAATAGACAGCTTCATGACTTAAAATTATCACACTGTTTTACTCTGCTGTAGAAACCATGAACTGTGGAGCACAACTCGTTAGCTTTAAATCTATATCTCATTTTATATTTCATTTGTAGAGTCAATCAAGCCTTGTATTTTGATGGTGTGGAAGACTATGTTACACTGAACACCATTCAGAATCTGAACTTAGAGTATAGTTTTACCGTTGAAGCGTGGATTAATTTGCCAAACAACTATCCTTCCTCCAAGATTCCTATTATTTGTTCAATTAATGCTGAGCTGTGTCTTTATGTGGAGAACAGGTAACATTAAAATCACATTGCACATTAGCCCAAACCAAGGGTAGATAAGAAATAAGGTTAGGAAACTTTCATAATCATGCTTGGTGATATTGAACACATATTTCAAAAGGTTATTGTGTTTATATTTGTTCTTACCTCAAATTAAATTTTCTGAAAATGCAGTTTTAACTACATGTATTACATAACACACATGCAATTGTAAATAGGTTACTTAAACACTAACAAAGAAAAAAAATGACATGTTTTTTTAAAAAACAACTGATTATCTGAAAAAAATAACAGAATGTGTTATTGGATGATAAGGTATACTGTAAACCACTTAAATTTTGCTGCAATGAATTTTTGTAGTACCACAGATAAAAGTTCACGATTTTCACTGACTTTCACAAAATTTAAGCTGTTTACAGTATTTTGTATGACTGTGTTTTGTTGTCTGATGAACAGATAATAAATAAAAATTACTCCAGACAATATGTTCAACAGATATTAATGAAATACTATGCAAATGCCTTGTATTGTATTATTGCAGGTGAATCTTCTAAAATTGTTTTTTTTTAGTTTGTTAAGGGGTCAAGTTGGCAAGAATCTGGTTAATGGAACAACTGTTGTCCAATCAAATACCTGGAATCATGTTACCATGAGATTTGATGCTCAAAGTAAGTGTAGTGCTTTGGACAATTATTTATTTATTGAATATGGTGCTTTAAATATACACATCTGCTTAATTATGGATGCTTTGGATTACTTTTATTTTTTAGCTGTAGCAATATATCGCAATATTCAATCCACAACCATGCGATACTTTATGACCTTCTTGTTCTTTTTTAACTCTGTTATTATTGACTAGGTTCCACAAATAACAATGGCACACACAAAGCGTCTTATAATCCAAACATTTTCTGAAACCTTGCCATTATTGGTCACTTTCAATAATCATTATTGATATTGACAATAAAACTATTCCAACTCATAATATGTTACCGTACTCGTTTTCAGCAAAGAATCAACTCTAAAAGTAGAATCAGCGAGATACATTAGAATGTTTCCATTTCATTGCAATACTTTCCATTCCCAAATGTGGATATTCTAAATACATATATGCATGTTTCAGTATTACATATGCTAATATACCGGTATCAGGAAATATTAAATATTTTTTTAGTTTTAGATATAAATAATATAATAATAATCCAATAATTCGGCAAAGCAAAGTGTTTGATGTGCATTCCAGAGTATGCATATTTTCTTGGATGCTACTTTTTATGCTATTGCTTATTTTATGGTCAGCTCCAATATTTCCAGACTGATGCAGTTGCACATATGATGAAGATGTCCTTCCCAGCTTGTGGTATCATTTGAAGCAATATTGATATTTCATTTCTGTTAAACATTTGTTATTTCCAGTATTAGCCACATTTGACATCTGAATATTGTGAGGAGACATCTCAGAAACTATGGGATTGTATCAATCTTTTTTACTTGATTAGTCAAAGTTTCATCATTATTACTTTTTGCATCTTAGAATCTTGAAAATGTTTGTACAATCTCTATTTATTAGATTTACTACTGGACATATTCATCAATGGTACAACATTACCTATTACTGGACCTGAAGCTTCATTAACAGATGCCAACCTGCCAGCCTGGGTAATTAAGATTTGACCATCAAAATGCCTTTTCCCTTTATTTTAGTGTCCATTTATAAGCACATTTTATTAGTTCCTGTCAATTGAAGTAAACTACAGGGACTATTAATTTTTATTCTGTTCATCTGCATTTGTCAAAATTTTACACAAAGACAGTAGATAATGACATAAATGCACCACAAGTTACTTAACGGCTGATGACCATTTAGGATTCACAATTTGCTATATCCTGATACCCATGCCACTTCTCATAGATGATGATGATGATTTTGATCAAACTTGGTAATGCATATTGGGTTACAAGTGCACGTCATGTATTTTTTTTAAGATTTGGTCAAATATGGTAGCCATTTTGTTTTTATTCATGTCTGTGCCAATTCTTCACTAAGTATTGCTTATTTCAATTGAAAGTTTGCACACAAGTACTACTGTCATACTACATGTTTTGATGTTGTGCAATTTGTCATATCAACTGCCATTTTGTTTAAAATCGTAAAATTGTATTCTGTATACCATTTTCTCACGGATGGACAGAGCAATTCACACTTTGTATCATTATCATGCACTTTGGGTTGCAGGTGCATGTCATGTATCAGTATGTCTGTCTAGATCTTTATATAATATATCAAACATTCGATGGGTCTGATTCAAAACAATGAACAAGTGGTCATTTCCTTCTCAAGAATGCTATTCCAGATGTCTCGACATACCTGGATGGGTTGCATTCACCCTTTGTACAGTTCACAATTACCAGAAACTTTTGGCCAAAGTTGTGATCCAATTGTACATCAAGCATTATCAGGTTTCAAATCGAGATGGCTGCCTGGTGGCCATTGTCCTTGTACAAGTATCAAAATCTAGCTATTTGCCATATTCCTGTACTCCTATATACATTCATACATATACTTTGTATATACATAATGTACTCACTATTAATCTATGAAGGGCGGCAGTCGTTGTGCCGCGTCCTGTTCGATATGGGACTCATAGCGACGTATACAACGAGTATAAATTACATTGTTTATTTACATGAAATTCGAACACACGCTTTAAAATACTGATGTATAGAGAATGTCATGACTTGTTCAGTATCATTAATATATACCTAATGAAATTGTGCTCTATTGTTTTTTAAAGGCTGCTGATACAGTGATGAATCTAGGTTATGATAACAATACATATTTTATTGGTATGATGGATGAGGTAGGTTGTGCAATTTATCCCATGTACTGACATAAATAAATACACTTTCATAAAATACTACCATGGAAATGTCACAGAGTGGGCAAAATGTATGTCATCTGTGAATTATGCATGCATAATATAACAGAATATATATCGCTCCAAAAAGTCTAAAACTGAATAGAGCAACTTACAACACCAACTTGGCATATATGAATATAAAAAAAACATATTTTTTGAAACTAACATGGAGTATTGAACATGTTTATAAACTGGAAACTGATTGAAAATTTTATAATAAAGAATTATAAAAACATTCTCAAACAGTCTGAAAACAGGGACTTATGTTTTGACCTCCGTGTGTCCGTTCGTGCGTGCGTTGGGATCTGGTTCTTAGAAATGCCTGGACCAATCACAATCAAACTTCACACATACATCATACATGATATTACACATATGCACGTCTATTTGTTTCACGATCTGATTCAAGATGGCCGAATGGCAGCCATTTTGTGCTAAAAATCATCAAAATTAAGCATTTTTCAGCTGTTTACAGATGGATTTTGTTCAAACCTTGTATATATGTTGGATATTATTGGACCTTGATGCACATCATTTTGTTTTACGATCTGATTCAAAATGGACGAATGGTGGCCATTTTTGTGCTAAAAAATCATCAAATATCAAGCATCAAATATCTGGCATTTATGGATGGATTTCATTCAAACTTGGTACATATATTAGACATTACAGGTTTCTGATGCACATCATTTATTTTTCAGATCGGATTCAAAATGGCTGTCTGGAGGCCATTTTGTTATAATGAATTGGCTTCTAGACCCATATCTCTGACTTGTTTTGACTGATTATGTTCAAATTTTAAATATTCATTATACATCATGTCATAGATAGACAGATATATTGGTTTGACAATCCTATTCAAAATGGCCAAATGGTGGCTATTTCTTGCATTTATGGATGGATTTTGTTCAAACTAACATACATTAGACATTACAGATTCCTGATGCACGTCATTTTATTTTTCAGATTCGATTCAATGATTGGGCTTCTAGAGCCATATCTCTTAAATGCTTTGACTGATTATATTCAAATTTTATATATTCGTTATACATCATGTTATATATATATATACATGTATTCAAAATGGCTGATTTTGAATGCCGTTCCAAAGTACTTGTTTGACAATCAGATACAAATGTCAATCATTTTAATGTTAAAAAATCATACTCCTGACATGGTTATATTCCAGCTATATTACTATAAACAAAAGTATATATCTTAAATTCGATAACTATTTTAAACGGGGACTTGTGCCATGCATGGCTTGTTATCTTCTAATATAAATCAACAAATTATTTCTTGTTAGGTTCGTATATGGGCATTGGCGTTATTAGATTCTGAGATCGATGAACATATGCAGTTAGCAGGACTTGAAAGACAAAGACACAAAAAGTTACTTGAAACGCATTATAATATGGACTCAGAAAGTGAAGGTATGCCTAATGTGTAACAGTTGAAATGAAATTTTAACATGAGGTCCGGTGCTTCAAATAAGTCTCCACATAAAGAACTTCCCTCTCTGCTGTACAGTGCCCTCATTATGTAATATTATAAATTATTTTTTATATTACAGTTCGGTTATCTATAATGTAATTATCTGCCTGTAAACTGTAATAAAATATATATTTAGTGTGATGTTGAAGTGATAACATTTCATATTTTTTTTTATTTACAGGAGCTACAGTGTTGTTAGACAGTGGTTTGTATGGACATGATGGCACCATAGAAGGCAATGCTGTATTTGTAGCAAGTAGTTTAGACCAAGGAAGATTTCAAGTTACATACACAGATGCCAAACGACGACGTAAACGAAGTATTACTTATGACCACTCAGAACTTTAATTTGTTCCGTGAACTAAAAAAAAAATTCACCATGGTGAGGCAGTGCTGGGTTGTAAACAGTCACAGTTATTTACAATTTCATCCTTGTGCCAAAAGAGATATCTACAAAATAGTTTCAGGCTCTCTGGTTGCTTAGTTATCATGCACTTGAATTAACCTTTTAGGCAGCATATTTTAAACATTTCTATGTATTTTTTGACAATTTCTCTGTTAATTTTCGACCTAATGTACATATTTTCACTGTCTAAATCAGGTCTTGGGCGAAATATTTGAAAACATTTATGGGCTACTTTCATTCGATCTATCGATCGCACTTTTCAGACTGTGTTTTTTACTTAGAGAATCGCAAAAAAGACCATTCATATACTATTTGTACTGAACGAAGGAATCACTACCGTTTAACTCCCAATGTAGTTTCAAGTATCACAGGTATTATTTCGTGATGAGGTTTACAACACACAGAGCAATGTTGTTGCCACCAAATTGAACTGACTGCTTAAATGGTTGCTAAGGTGCATGAATCGTGGTCATGCGTGATCCCGTAGCTTGCGGAAAATGGCTTCACTATTTTGACCGCCAAAATTAAATTTTGATTCTTTTCATTGAGTAAACCCCCATTATTATTTTCAATAATTTGTCTATTTGATACAAAATTGAAAAACAAATACAGAAAAATGTGCAAAATTGTGCACAAAAATATTAGCAATAAAAATATATGGTTAAACATAAAACTGTTACACACAGATCCATCCTGCTTTCACCATGATGTGAATAATGCAATACAGGATTTATACCCAAAATTTATTAACTAGTAGTTATATTATTATAAATCTGGATTACTTTTCTGTAAATATAATGTACTGTGCCAAAGAAAACTATATTTTTTTGATGTGCATTTAAAATAAATATTTGTATATTGTTCACAACAAGCTTAGTGTTCAAACTCTAGGAGGGCGGTATTGTTGGTTTACTGTCATTTTAAACTCTATTTTGGTAAACTTGTATTAAAATCAAATGTTATTTGATAATTTTTGTAAAGTCTGTGAATATAAATCAATGCTTATTATATTCATTTGTCATTAGCTAACATAATGTTGTCATTTTATAAACTCAGATGTTTGTGTAAAATTGTGTTGTTTTTTACTTGTATTCAAAACAGGCTGGAACCTTGTTTTAACCATTATTGTACATAAAGCACTGAATTTTTGTGTACATTATCAATCTCTAAACATTTACATTAAAATCACCCAGGAGGTGTTGTTTTCATATTTGATTGCAGTATATCTTTTTGAAATACATGTAGTAGTACCTTAGAAATTAATAAGCTGATATATTAGACCTATAAACAGGCATCCATGTCATTCATTGTACCACATATATTACATTGTCAAATCTCAATGTGTTTATTGACTTCTTTTCATGATGGCAGTTCTACTATGATTAAAGCGTGGTAGTCGTCGTTCCACGCACGTGCGAGATATATGGGTCTCATATAAACAGAGATGGCGACTTTGACTGTTGCCCATATCAAAGAGTACAAACTGAGATGTTTCCAAGCTTTAATCGCCGGTGGTATTCAGTGCAAGTCGTGCCCAGGTCAAACCTCATACTTGTGATTTCCATTTGAAGAGCATTGGATTGTGGGAAAATCAATGTTTATCAACACAAATGTCGCACATACGCAGCGCAACAACCGCCGCACTTTAAATTACATTTTTTTTTTTGTATGTGCCTAAATTCTAAAACTCTAAATGATTGGTTTTCATGTAAAGATAATCACAATTTTGACAAATGTTGTTTTAGTTACTTGTACCAGATTTATAAAGTCTGGTATGAATCTAGGCTCTATTTATAGTATAGGAATGCCAGCATATTCACATTTTCTATCAGTAGTGTATCATGGAATGCTTTACAAACTTATACATGTAACCATGTAATAAAAAACAAGTTCTGTGATATTAAAATTACTGATTCAGAATCTTTTTGATTTTATATATTTTTTTAATTTTATTTTTACAGGATGGACTATGTAAGAACTGTACTTCTCATATGATAGATGCAATAAATGTTACATATGACTGATTTCATTCATACATATTCATACTAATGATATGGTGGAACCCAGCATACATTGTATAGTTCCATACAAATGATATGGTGAAACATAGCGTATAGAGTTCCATACATATAATATGTTGAAATACACCCTATAGAATTCCATACAAATAATATGTTGAAACACACCCTATAGAATTCCATACAAATAATATGTTGAAACACACCATATAGAATTCATACAAATAATATGTTGAAACCCACCATATAGAATTTCATACAAATAATATGTTGAAACCCACCATATAGAATTCCATACAAATAATATGTACGTTGAAACACACCCTATAGAATTCCATACAAATATGTTGAAACCCACCATATAGAATTTCATACAAATAATATGTTGAAACCCACCATATAGAATTTCATACG